TTTTTTTTTGTTGAGTTTAATTATTTTTTGGCAAACGGAAAACAATATTTTATTTAGGGTGTTGTTAAATCAACTCTAAAATTAACTGAGTACATATTATCTAAGTATAGCCTAATATTTAAATTAAAATGTAAAATTAATAGTACACTCTATCTAACTATCAAAAATATCTCTAATACACCCTAATACTCTGTATCACACAACATCAAACTCATTCGATAGCGAAATGGCAAGTCTTTGAATTTGGGTACATAATTCCTAAAATTGAATAGGGGCAGATATTCAAATACGAGATGAATCCATACAGCAACTTCATCATCAGTGCTTCCAAGCGGTAAGATATGCCCATCTGGAAAAATCGTAAAATCTGGATTGGCCTGCAGAGCAAGCAACAAGACTGATGTTTTGGGGTATGGGTGGGGGAACTATGTCCATGGCAGCGTAGTGAGAGGTGGAGGTGTTAAATTAGATTCCAATGTTAATATGAGCAGTGGGAGTAATGTTAATGGCAATTGAGATCAGCAGCATTTATAGATTCATCTCGTATTTAAATATCTGCCCAAATTCATTTTTAGGAATTCTGTACCTAAATTCAAAGACTTGACATTTTACCAAATCCGTGGGTATTTTAATTTTTTGTCAACCTAAACCAAAGTTAATACTTTTTTATGACTCCTTTGGCATGTCTGAAGCATCCATGAAACTTGTTTGCATCAATGAATTACTAAATAACGATGAAACAAATTGTTGGAGTTAACACTAGGTTGGAAGTAGGGTTTTTGGCTTACGTTTGATTAGGGTGACTATGGTGAGTATGGTGTACTTATTAAAATTATATTTGTTTCACAATTCAATATATTCTTTTTGGTCATTTTATATTATGATAAATTAGTAATTCAATAAATAGTTTGGTAACATGGTGTACTCAGTTAATTTTGAGGTTCATTTAACTGCACCCTTGTTGGCCTTCCCTCTTTGATTCGATACGGTTAAACTTAAAAGAGGGTATGATTCTGAAAGATTACATAGCTCATATTTTATTTTAGTTTTGAATTATTTGGTGTTTAATTTTGGATTTTTTACGCTAGTACAAATGATATTGTATTGAGGGACAGGAGAATCCAACCTAACAGATGTAGGCAGTATATGTTAAAACAAAAAACAGAAGGACCGGTTAGACATTTTAGGTAATTTTTTTAGTTATAGCCAGATTTGAAATTCATTAAATTTGGTTGTTGAAATTAAAAAGGAGGGAAGCGGAGTCGTTGGATGAAGGAGCCATTAGAGGGAGAAAAACTTCCTTGGCACGAGGATGCCAGGGTAAGCATTCCCACTATGTATCCCCAACCAGTAATTTATTGACAGCTGGCAACCAATCTTTAGAAGAAAAAAAGATTGGTTAGACCAACATTAAGTCTTTTCTCTCCCGATCTGCTCCCCCACCATAGCCACTAGCTTCAGTGTTGACGTTCGTTCTCTCCTGACTTGCTCCCCCGCCACAGCAATTGGCCTCGGCGGCAAAGTCGACCTCGCCACCGTCCATCCTCCTTCCTTCATCGTCGACATCATTGTTGGCGGCGCAAATCTCACGGCCTGGGGTTCCGGGCCGAGGGGATGTGCGTTAATACGTGGCTTCCTCCTTTTGAATGCGGTGCGTTTGTGCGCGGGCGTGCCAGCACGGTCTACCGTGCGTCGAGATGGTGATGTAGATGAAAATGGTTAAGTGGTGCGCTTGTTTGAGTTCGACTCCTAATCAAACGATTGTGGCCGAGAGAGGAACTGATCTCGGCCGTCAGGTTCACGATACATTTCCATTTCTCAGATTTCCAAATCTTCTCTACATTTCCATTTCTCAGATTTTATATTTCAATCTCCATTCTCAATGGCAAACATGGAAGAGATTTTGGAGAGACAAGAGCGAGAAACTAGAGAAAGAATGCGTAGAAGAGCTGCAAGCAAGAGGGTGCAGAGAGAACTAGATGAGCAACTTGGCATAGCAGTGGCTTTGCTTGAGGAAGAAAACCAGAGCCGCCGTGGTTCACGTGAAGGTCGTCGCTCGAATGTTGATAGACATAGACATTCTCAAGGTAAGAATCTTCTAGAAGATTATTTTATCCCACAATCTCTGTACTCTGATGTTCATTTTCGAGTAAGATATAGAATGCAACCCCATTTATTCAATAAAATCATGAATGATATTTGCAATTATGATGAATACTTTGTTCAAAAGAAAAATGCTGCTGGAAATTTGGGACTTCTTCCCGAGCAAAAGTTCACAGCAGTGATACGAATGTTAGCGTATGGATCATATGCTGATCAAGTGGATGAGGTTGTCCGTATGGGGAAGGGGTAGTCCAATCGACATTTGGGATCGTGAAGCATGGTGGTGTGACCCCATGAATCTTGGTAAATCTCGACCGCTGCCCTGATCGTGGATTCTGCGCTTCTGGCCGTGGGGACGCATTTATTGCTCTGATAGCTGGTAACCTAATCTCTCAAGCTGTAAGAATCCTTGTGAGAATGTTTGCGTCTAATCACTCTGATTCCTATCACCAAATCCTGACTTCAGTCACTTCCCACCTTCCCTCGTGCATTAAATGCTTATTCATGGCCAGTGGGTTTGCTGCAATAAACAGAGGCATTACTTCATTAAATGAAGCATGGGACCCTGCTGTCACGTGATAATTTGACTTTAATACCTTTGGCCGTGATTTTGTTCGGCTCGGCCTCGGCCTATAATCGAGGCCGAGATGATCAGGCCTTAGCAATTTTTTCTTTTGTTTTCAGGAAGGCCAAACATCTTGGCGAAACGCCGCGTTTTAGATTTACGAGCAAGTGCTAGGGCTGAGAAAAAGGGGCTCCTTCTGGTCGTGATTTATTAGGCACAAACATTGCCCCCACATCCTCGGATTCTTCGGTCTCAGCATGCGTAGGGGCTGAATGGATTCCAGGGGATGGACCCTTTGCATTCCTTCTGAAGTGATTGACAACTTGTGCATTAAATACGCAGGACAGTCGGCGCATTTAATGCCCAAGCACGTCGTGCAGGCCATCATTGCCCAAGCTTACGCGAGGCGTAGCTTCGCCTCGTCAAATGAAACGACGGTCTCTGGGCTTTCGACACGTCATCGTGCTCTCGATTCGTGCGAGCCATCATTTTACCTCACCAACCGAAACGTCGGCCCCTAGGTCTCAAACAGACCCTCGAGTGCCCCGAGTGTGTTGTCACGCCGTTTTGTCTTTCGAGAATCACACCTCCTGTTTTGAATTCCAGGGCTAGTATAAAAACCCTGCCTTCCTTCATTTTTCTTTCACGCCTCCTGCTCTGAAGCTCTCCTCCTGCTTAGTGATCCCTGGGCCTCCCTCCTCCTTTACTCATTCTTCCCTTCATTTTAACCTGCTCCAGTGGCCCCCATTGTAGCCCTTCCAAAAATCGGGGAGCCAAATCCGCTGAACCTTGCGACTTGGCCGTTTGGCCATAATTAGATGGCTCTTCCTCCCCTGCTGTCCACCGACTGTCTTTCGCCTTGGAAAGTCGACGTGAGCCAGAACCAAAACGTGGCCGAGATTCCTTCCCAGTCCTAGAGGAAGATGAACTTCCTCCTGATCGG